TAAATAATGAACAGAATAACACCTCTTACTTTGTCTGACTTCTCCCATTTTTAACCACAGCTCTTTTTTACTTTTCCCATTATGAATGAAATCTTCTAAGATTAACAAAAAGAATGATTTGGAAAATTATAAAGAAGGAAAAAGAAAACACACCCAAATCCTAACATCCACAAGTAGTGTGGCTCACCATTGACACTGTTGTTCATTTCCTTCTAAGCCTTTAAAAATGCATTTTTTTGATCCTTGTATATATACCATTTACTTCTGGCTTGATATTTACACAAATTTTGAGCATAAGCATTTTTTCCAAGTTATTAATAACTCTAGATATATTTTAATGATCCTATAATGATTTACAATTTATATGGTTATTCATCTAATGAATATTTAGTTTGTCTTTTTTCCCCACTATTGCCAGTCATGCTGTCATGAATATCTTTGTCTTCTACCTTCTCTGGCATCTAGCTGAGAATGCATTCTTATGGCTATGAGCCTGTGGTTCTGGTTCAAAAAGGATATGTTTACTCTAGAACCAATGTCCTGCTCTCTCTCTCTCTCTGTCTCTCCATCCCTCTCTCCCTGTCTCACTCTCTCTCTCTCTCTTTCTTTCTCATTTTAGTATGATATCATTGCTAAAATATTATACAGATCCCCATTATAAACATGAGAAGAAGCAGGAAAGTACTGCATGCTATCAGGTATATGCTAGGCTTGTCTGTGGTTCACCAACCCTGTAAAATCCAAGTCATTACAGAATGGAAATATATCTCCGTATGAAATCAGCTCTCCTAGACTCCACCCATGTGAGCCTACTGTAAAAAGGGGAACCATGCCTTACTAATCACCACAAATAGCATAATACAAAAACAACTGAAGAAAGGCATGTTTGAGGCCACAAACACTAATGTTTAACAAGTGTAGACTTTTAATAGGGAAAAAGTAGAGCTACTATCTTGCAAATTATTCTCAACTTTTATTTTTACACTATAATCCAAGTAATTTAATTTCCAGTAACGGATTTAGATACCTCTTCTATGTATCTTCCCTAACAGTTTAAAGACATCATATTACAGTGATACATGCATGCCCATGTTTATAGCTGCACAACTCATAATAGCTAAATCTAGGAAGTAGCCTATAGGCCCGTCAACAGCTGAATAGATAAAGAAAATGTGATGCATATCCCCAGTAGTGTACTACTCAGCCATAAAGAAGAAATTTGAGTCATTTCCAGGAACATGTATACACCTTGAAACTATAATGCTAAGTTGAGTAAATTCATGGTAAAAAAATCACATGGTTTCTCTTATATGAGAAACCAAAAATATAAATAATTTAAAGACCAAAATAAGACAGATGATGAGATACAGAAAATAGACTAAGTTAGACATTATGAGATGGGAAGGGTAACTGTGGGTAGGGGGAGACCAAATGACAAGAAGGGATTGGAAATGGGGAGCAAAACGTATATATACACTTCAGGAAAAGAAAACCTTTTATAAATATTTTAATACTAAATATATTAAGACAGCATAAGATTAATATGTTATCTTTGGCCTCTGTAATTAGAAGAGATACTCATAGTGGCAGCCATTAGCTTCCAGACATTTAGTAGTACGGCGAACTGCCGCTTGGGTAGCCCTGGTCATTGAGATGGCTGCACGTGCATTTTCAGTTTCTTCTCTAAGGGCTGGCAGTGTAGTGGGTTTTCTGCTATGTACAACATCCTCTAGGGGCTACCGTACAAAAGTAGCACCATCTGTTTCTTGAAGTATGTGTACAGTTTTTTGGCAGACTCTCTCTCTCTCTCTCTCTCTCTCTCTCCTCTCTCTCTCTCTCTCTCTATATATATATATGCCATTTCCCCAATATGAGTCTAATTATTATATATTGTAAACATATACTAATAAAAATGAAGAAAAACTGGCAAAAATGGATTGAGGCTGTTCATTCTTTTGGAAACTCAAATCACATTGTAAACCAATGAACTATTCTGAGGAAAAGAAACAAAAACAATAAAATGGCCTTTAATGTCCTTTTCACGTATAAAGTTCTATAAAAACACTGCAAAAAAAACATGCATTTGAGTGACCAAAATGTTTGATAACTCTCAGCTATCTAAATAGCTAAGCTATAAAAATATCTAAACTATTTAATCCTTAATCCAGTAAGTTTTCAACAGTTTTCCCTCAAACTCCTTCATATCTATCTTTTCTTTTCTCCCCCTCTGCACCACCTCTGCCTGTCATTACTAGACTGCTGAATTCTTACTGATTAGCTCCCCTATTAGGTAATCCTTTTTAGGGTATAATCCAAATATAGATTTACTTGTGTATGAGTTCTATAAATGCACCACTGAATTAATATTATGAACTGTAAAATTACACAAAAAGACATTTTAAAAAGTTAAAGATTAAATACAAACATAAATAGAAGTTCAAGTATCTGTTCTTGCCCCCTTGGATGGCCTTGCAGCACATCCTCTGGGTCACATGCCCCTCAGAATAACTGGCCCCGGCTATTAGAGAATAATTTGCAAAGTGGGCTCTTGCCCTCATTTTTACTGTTCTTCTGTCCAACCTAAAACCATCTGTCAGGGATCTTTTTAAAATTTAAATCCAGCCATGTTACTCATCTTCCTAAAATTCTTTTGTGATTCCAAATTGGTAACAAGGTAAGGTAGAAACTTCTTAGATTACTCAAGTCTTTTTGATTTTTTGGTCCCATTTCTTCATTGATCACCTGTTTTCTAGTCCCGGAACTGTATTAGTTAGGGGTCTCTAGAGGAATAGAATCAATAGAAAATATACGTGTAATTATGGAGAGGATTTATTAGGTGGCTTATGGGATCAGAGATGGCGGAGTCCACATTGACCATCTGTGCACTGGAGAGCTGGAGGATCCAGTAGCTGCTCAGTCCAAGAAGCTGGAGGCCACAGAACAAGAGGGATCAAAGATGAAGTCCAAGGTCAAAGGCCTGAAAGCTCATTGGAGAGTTTCTGGTGTGAGTCTACTTTGGAAGGCTGAAGAAAGTGGAGATTGATGTCCAAAGGCAATTGGAGTGACAGACCCACCCACTCAAGTAGACTGGAGCTCTTCAAAACACACACTAACTTCCTTCTTTTTACCTTTTACTCCAGTCAAGGTGCAAACCTGTTGTTTGGTGCCACCCACAGCTGGGGTTGGTCTTTTCCCTAAGTGTGCTGGCCTACTTGCCAGTCATCTCTGGAAACACCCCACAAACACACCCAGAAGTGTGCTGTACTAGTCTGCTGGTTGTTCCTTTCTCTGGTCAAGTTGACATATCAAACTAACAATCAGAGGAACCACTCAGTATTCTGAAATTGAATAACATAGTCTATGTACTTTGAATTTTTATTGCAAATATTTTTTTCTAGCCAGAATGTCCTTCCTTTGCCTGCCATTCCTACTCACATTTAACCGTTGAAATTTAGCTCAAATGTGTTATCCTCTGGTATATTCCCTGATAGCTTTTGCCAGTTCTTCACTTCATTCATGTCAACTATTTTATTGTAATTTGATTATTTATTTATTGTCTGAGCCTACTTCTAAATTGAGTTTCTAGAGACTAGCAGTCTGATGTATTCATTTTGGTATCTATTGAAGCCTCATGTATCAATGGCAACACATAGCTATACAGGTTTGTGAAATAAATGAATGAATGACTAAGACCCTGCACCAAAACTACTGCAAAAGACTTTACATACTTATCAGATGACAAATACCACTTTACAAATAGGTGCACTAAAGTGTAGAAATATCGTTTAGCCAAGATCAAGGATTCAATGTCACAGAATGAAATCTTGAGTGTAAAATGGCTTAACAAAAGAAGGAGGGAGCTGAAAAAAGAGCTCACTGAACACATTGTTCATATCTGTTTCCCTCCTGTCCACCGATTCTTACTGCTACTCAAATGAAGACTGAATTTTAAAAGTTACATTGAGTTTTGACATTTGGCAACTTAAAATTTCAAAGAATTGTAATTAATTGATATTCATAGTTGATCTTTAAGTCTTTAACATCTTTAGGTTTATTTCTAGTCCTATTCCACTTAAACATTTTTAACATTAAGAATTACTATGATGTTATTATTCTCATTTAGCACTTAAGATGATGTTTTTTCTCCTTAAGGTTATGATGCAATCAGTTATATTGATTTATTGCCTAGTTTTGGGCCAATACTGCATTCTTGTACCATCTTCCTTGGTTAATGGCATTATTCTTCTGATAATAATGTATTCTGTTTCCTAACATTTCATCTGGGTGTTTTGCATTCATTGTCATAAACGTAATGAGTTTCTATTGTTTACATCTAAACATTGAACCATGTAACTTTATTTTAAAAATCACTTGACATTAGCATTGAATCTAATTTACTTTTTGAATTTAGGTATAGAAGTTCTAGCAGTGCCATCCAAACGATTAACTTCTACCAAATACTCACTTTGTGCCAGCAACACTTTATTGTACATCTACTAACTCAAACCTTATGAAGCAGAAATTATTATTATCCCTATTTTGGGGCACAGAAATTGAGACACAGAGATGTAAAATACCCAGGGTCACATAGAAAGTACATAGTAGAGTTAGGGTTTGAACTCGGGCATCCTAGCCCAGAGCTTACCTTCTTCACCATCTTGCATGATTTCTCCAGTATGTTACAGGAGAAAACACAAATCTCAAGAGGTATTTGTTCAAAGAGAGAATATAATATAGTCATGTTAATAGCCTGTGTTTTTTTAAACAATGAAGAATGTGTAAGAGAAGTAGTCTATCTACCATTAATTAACATAATAATGTAGACTGGAGCCGAATAGTATTTAACTATTAAAACACTTAAATGAGTATGTAGATAGTGGTAGAGCACTTGTCTAACTTCTGCTAGGCCCTGGGTTCAATCCTCAGCACAGAAAAAAATAAAACAAGACACTTAAATAAAAAATTTTGCCAAAGTAATAACATTTTTTTTTTCTTTTCAGCAATCTTGACACAGAAGAACTATGTGGTAAGTTCCTTTAAGACGAATCAAACCTATTACTTGTTTTAAAAGGAAAGACAATGTTGTCTGATATATTTCTATGCACCTTAAGTTAATGTCATAGATTAGGAATAGATTAGGAATGCTGGAGTGAAATAAAAGATAAATCAAGAAGGTCTCAAGGGATTTACCTTTATCCAAGAATTTTGCCAAAGTGCATATTTCACTGCAGAACAAGTTGGGCCTCATTAATTTGCTCATGGAAGGAGAATTGTTATTATAATCAGTGCATTAGTTCACAAGAGCTAATTCCCCACAAATTTTAATATATTTTTAAATTGGTGTTAATACAACTTCATTGTTCTCTTCACAATGTATTGTGCAGAGCCTCACATTACTGTTTTGCAAAGCTGTCTCCTTGAAAGGTAAGAATAATTTACCGAAACCAGTCTCGAGTATTAAATGTCACTTAGAAAACAAGTGATTATAATATACAGAGAAATAATCTTCACAAATAGTTTAATGGCTTCTTCATTTATTTTCTTCATCTTTGTAATTGGAAACACAAGTCAAAGATTAGAAATATAGAAAAGCACAATACATCTAAAAGTTATTATTTGTTATGAAGAATTTGGAGAATTATGAGATTATTCAATATGAAATAGCCAAATTTCTCTGAATACTGGAAGGTTTTAAGTTTTATATTTTAAAATAAATGTATAAGAAAATACGCCTTGTCCAACTTTGATCTTATTATCCAGGAAGCTTGAGCTACTTTTGTTGGCTCAGGATGAGTTTCTCTGAAATTCTTGATTGAATGACAAATCCTTCTTGAATATCTTCTAGTTGTTCAAGTTTTAGAGTTTTCCCAAAACATCAGAAAGACTATTTATAATACTTAAAATTAGTTATCTTCTATTTCAACAAAAAGGTAAACACCAAGAGATGTCATGCCAGAACAAAGTGTTAGAACAGAGGATTTTGAGGTGATAACTAAACAAAACAAGTATGAGAATCCCTAATATGAGCTTCCCAGTTTTCCAATGGTCTTCAGACCTCTGTGCTCCCTTTCTTGCTTAGTGTATATTCCAGGTTCATAGATAAGAATTCAGCTGAAAAAACAAGGTATGATTATGAAGAAGCTAAGTACTTATGTATCCAAGTAGGTCGTGCTGGTTATGAAACACCATCAAAGAAAATCCTGCTGTTGCTTTCAACACAATTAGGTGATGGCACCATTCATACATGGCTATTACTGTGCTCAGCGGCCAAAATGGTCCATATGGGCCATGAGACCTCACTATAAAGATGAGATTGGGGTCCATGCTCATCCATGTGTAGCAGTCTGTCTATAAAGTAGAGCGAGAACAGGGAGACCTGAGAAGCTTGTCTTGATAAGTTCGTGAAGGTAGGAGACCCATTTGCCCCAAATATCTAGGTATATCAGGCCAAAGTAATAATTTCCTCAAATCATTGAGACAGTTCACTTAGTTTTTTATTTAACTTTGCCTGTGTAGGCCCAGCTGATGAGAAAACAACTGTTATAAGAGCTTTTAAGATAAAAACATTTACTGGCTCTATTTTATTTATGTTGCCTGTCTATTGTCATTAAGGAATAGTATGTTAAATTTCATCTTCCCTTAAAAACTCTTTAAAGTATGATAGTGTATCTTCATAATCATCTACAAAAATTTTTGTCTTTCTTCTATAATAAAGAAAGTTAATTATCATCATAACCTTGTATTTATTGAAAAGTTACACTATAACTTTGGTCCATAGTTTTAGTTAAACAACTAGTAAATGGAGCTTTACTTCAACAGAATTGCTCTATATTTTTTAAATACAATGATTATATTCCCAATCATGTTATAATCCTCCCCCTCTCTGTTCAAGAATATGCATTTTAATTTCCAGGGTGTAGTTTCTTTTCTCATTATTTTGTGAATATAAAGTAAATATTTAAGTTGGATTCTGATCAAAGCCAAATGCTTCAGTGCTAGCAAGTGAAATATGTAGATTCACACCCCACACAAGTTCCCCCTATGTGTGGGAAGGACAGTGCTTGATTGGCACAGAAAGGAGATTTCATATGCTTTCTTCTAGAAGCCAATTAAAAATTCCAGGTATCTAAAGCTCTCATTTTGTTGCTTTTGCTGAATCAATCAAATCCCTTTTAATAGGTTTTTAGGTCACTTCAACTTTCCACTAGAGCAAATATTATTGAAGTAAATATTCTCAGATATATTATCTTTGTACACTTGTATGCACCATTCTGTATGATAAATTTCTCAGTGTAACTTCTTATTTGAGGTTTTTCCAAAGCACACACCCACAAGCAGTTTATAGGAGTGCCTGATTGTTCACTCTTCACAGATCATTGTAAAACCCTTCCCTAATGCAGCCTTTTGCCATATCTTACAACTGTCAGCCAATATACAACTCAATTTTACTTAGAAAATTTCATTTAAATTCTAGCATTGAGGCTTTTTTTTTATGTTCATGTGACCTTTACCTCTATTCTCAAATGTTCAGAAGCATAACTATTACTTCCTTGACTTTACCTGGTTTAGGACTGTTTTTATAACTTTACTCATTTTTACTGAACCTTTTTGCAAATTGTGAGCTTGGTAGCTAAGAATTTTGAGACATTTGTAGATTGGTGAAGAATAATGATAAATAGCTCATGTAGCTAGGGTGCCTGATCTGAGAGCATATCTATAACAAATTTTCGTGACCAAGCTAGAATATACTTACTCTATTTAATAATGTATTTGCTGATCTAGTTGGTTGTTTAATACCAACTATTAAACTATTTTAACAAATAGATAAAATCTGTAAATATGATTATAAAAACTGAGGGTACAGGAAGCTCACAGAATAAAACTTTCTTAGTTTTATATGCAAGATCCCTTTCAGTAGGTCAGTGCTAGATGTCTCATTATATTAAAGATGGCACCTTCACTGCCAGCGAGACTGGGTGCTGGGAAATTGGAAGACTCTAGGTCCTCTTCCAGTTCCTTAGCACCAAGGCAACCTGGCACATGCCACTAGGTGATTGAGTGTAATACACTGAGTCACACTGAGCTGCACCCCTCAAAATCACTATATTCTAAATTTCTGATAACCTCAATTCAGATCATGAGGGTCTTAACTCTCTCTCTCTCTTTCATATCTCTGTTATTTTGTTTCCTGTTTAGTCTCTTGCTTGAGAAATCCTAACAAAGTATAGACTGTGGGACTCATTTAACTCAGGATGCTTTATGAGATCAATTCCCAGTGTGACCTTTGTGGCATCTGTAGGCCCTTAGATTCTGACTTGGAATTCTTAGTCTAGACCAGAAAAATGCAGCAATTTGGAGGATTGAGGTACAGGGAGAAAAAAAAAACACCAAAAGCCTGGCATTTGGTAAAGCAATATCAATAATTAAATACAACAAGGAGGGAAAAATTAACCTCTTATTAGCATGTTTTTAGCGAAAATGTTGCACTGAACGTGGATGAGATTATTGTTTTCTGATTGATAGCTTGTTTAACACATGTTTATAAATCACACTATACTCTTTCATTACCCGCAATGTCCAGACATTTTTACTTTTAATTTTTATTTTTCCTGGTATTGGGGAATGAACCCAGAGCCTTTGCACTTAGCTATATCCTCGGCCTTTTATATTTTTTATTTTGAGATATAGTCTCTCAAAGTGGCTATTTTAGTTACTTTTCTTGTTACTGAGACAAAATACCCAACACTCAAAGTTAAAGGGAGAAAGGTTTATTTGGCTAAAAGTTTCTAGAAGTTTCAGACCATAGTTGGTTGACTTCGAGGCAGGTGGCATGGAAGGGCATGGAAGGGGGACATCACAGAGAATAAACAGTTCATAAAGCAGGGCAAGCAGAAGGCAGCAAGCAGCAAGCAGCAAGCAAGCAACAAATGATGACCCTCTTTCTGTCCCTGTATTCCATCCAGGCTACCCTTAGGGGAGGTAGCACTCACACCCAGACTGGGGAACCCTAAATGCTACTCAGAACTATGCCAAAACAATCAGGGGACTAATTTAGTAATTACATACCCTTCATCCGAGCATCACACACTTAATCCCAGCATCACACACTTTAGATCCAGCCATATGTGAAAAGCCCATCTATGACCATATGCAGCTTTGGGGGGACAGCTAGATATAAGCCATAATGTTCCACCCTTGGCCCTCCAAAGACTAATGTAAATTCCTTTCTGGAAAAGACATTTAGTACATCTCTAAGAGCTGCCAAAATCTTAACATTTTCAGCATTGCTGAAAAGTTTGTCTAAAGTCTTCTCTGAGATTTAAAGCAAAGTCTTATCTGTGAGTCCCTGTATAAATTAAAAGAAAGTTAAACACTTTCAACATACAATGACATAAGATAAACATTACCATTCCAAAAGGTACAGATGGGGGCTACAAAGGAATGAGACCAAAGCAAGTCCAAAATCCAGCAGGGAAGACATTAAGTCCTGCAGTTCCATGTGCAGCCTCGCCAGCAATCTGCCAAGTTGTGAACTCCAAAGGGCTTGGGTGGCTCCACCCCTACAGCACTGCCAGTGGTTGTAGCACCACCATGGCTTCTCTCTTGGACCACCTTTGCTCCCTCCTTGCAGTTTTCCTCAGACCATCCACTTTTCTGGCTTCTGGGGTCTCCACTGCACCTTCAGCTTCACACTCACAGCTTCACACATTGCTCTTTCAGGGGCACACTGCCTGGCCTCCTAGGCCTTCTTCTGAAATCTGGGCAGAAGCTTTCCTGACCTCACAAATCTTCATGCACCAAAAACCATGCATGTAGCACCACCTGGATGACACCAGTGTCTGCTGCCAGCTGGAGCAGTAGCCAGGCCTCTTCTCTTGGCTGTAGGAGTTGAGTACCTGGATCGCTGAGCACTCTGAATTCAATCCTGAGAAACAAATTCTCTAGGCTGCGACCTTTCTGGAACATGGTACTCTCGTGCACTCTTCTCAAAGCAAATTCTTTCACTTTTGCAACCTTGAAGCTGTC